CATCATCACCAGCATGAATGTCAGATTGATTTGAGGATTTCTTTTTAGATTTACTTAATGCGTTTGGTTTTTTTTTCTCTGGGTCTTTTAAATCAGTATGGTAATAATATAAACAAATTTAATAAACTTTAAAACAGAAATTAGATTAACAAGATCCAGTGTATTAAAGACTGTCCGATTAACACAGGTTTCAAAATACACATACTGGTAGGCAGAATATCAGAACGTATTCACACATCCTCACTTTTATCTTCTACTCTTTAAGAAAAAAATCTTAAATATAACAAAGTGTAAACATTTTTTCAGACATTTTTGTGAAATTTCTAATTGAATAATATAAACAATATAGCTATATATTTATTAATGCTCTAAGACTTAAAGCTTAGATGCATCTGATCTCCTCTGTTCACCCAACTCCACTTTTATTAAACTCTGTTAATTCGACAGGATTTCTCAATTGACCAAGGCTAATTCTGGATATAAAGCTCTACTGGATATAAAATTATTGAAAATGTCACCATGGTCAGTACATTCCAACCGCAAACCATTTGGACTTTTTAAAATAAGCTCATTAGACATTACCAAATAAAGAGAAATAAATGTTCTCCTATCAGAGCACTTTGCTCTCAATCGGCAGTTTTACAAGTGGTTCCTGGATTTTCTAGAAGTAGAATGGGAGGCAGATCTTTTAGTTAACAAGCTCCTCTCCTGTGGAACAAACTACCAGTTTTAGTCCATGAGACAGACACCCTGTCTGCTTTTAAAGGTGGGCTTAAAACTTTCCTTTTTGATTAAGTTTATAGGTAGAGTGGCTCAGGTTAGCCTGAGCTATCTCTATAGTTGTGCTGCTTAAACTACTGGAGGACGTAGGGACATCTTTTTAATCATTCTGCTTCATTTCATCTCTATTCTTCCAGTCTGCAGTAATTGTTAATTCAATCACTCTGCTGTTTCTCATCATAGTGGTTCCATCTGTTCTGTTCCTGTTTGGCTGTGACACCATCCAATATTTAAATATCAGCTGTGCTGCTGCCATCAGCACTTTTGTTTATAGATGATGGAGCTTGGCCTGTTTTTCAGTGTAGTCCTGTTTCTCTTACTATGATTAACTGTATGTGCACTCTTTCATCTCCTGATGTGGGAGCTGCCTAGGAGCTAATTTGCCTGGCTGTTTCCACCCCTTTCAAACCAACTGCTGTGAAGGAAGCCATTTGTGTTAAGAGAGAAAAAATAACCTTAAACAGTGGACTCAGGTTTCAGCTCTCAAAAACTTACAACGCAGCGATAGATTTGATTCCTTCCCACTATCATAATCCTAATCGCCATGCAGGGGACCAAGACATCTTGCCTGGTTAGCCAGGCCAACAATGAACCTAAGGACTCTCCTTTTTAGAGACATAGGCCAGTATCGGGTATTGCAGGCTAACAAAGACCTGAATGACTCCCCATTACTAAGGAATGGACCTGTTCCTCTGGTGTAGTTTGCTTGTTTTCCAGGCCATAACAAGGCTTCGTTGGTCTACTCTATAAAGCTTTGAACTCAACGCTAATTAAGACATTTTTAATTGAAAAAGCTTCCTGGATAGAAAGCGAAACGTCTCCAAACTTGGAAAGCAAAGTCCAGTGGTTTATTTTGTAACTTCTTTGGAATGACTATGACCTGGGTGACTGAGATTCTTCACGCATGGAATAATAGATGGTGGAGGTGGCATCATACAGTGGTGATTTTCTAGGCAGGATGCCCATTTTACAATAAGAGTAAGGTCATTTTTAATAAAATTCGTATCTTTCCAATAGTTTATATGGAAAGGATAATAGAAAGATATATAATATTTTTATTAAAAAAATAAATGAATAAATATTTTATTCCTTTTTAATGTATTCTATTCTAGTCTAATTGTGCCTTGCAGAAAAGCCCTGCTGTTTTGGTCGCTATGAACAAGCTTTTGGCATAAACAGCTGCTGATTGGGCTTCAGTGAGGTTCCTCCAAGGGTTAATGTTAGCTAGCGTTTGTCTTTCGGATTATTGTCCTTCTTAAACACCCAAGCTTCATCCACCTAAATGTTCGCTTTAGAATAATACTACCACCTCCATGGATAGTTTGTAGTGAAGAAATAGAACATGAATTAAACAGCACAGAGAATAATCAAAGAAACAGCAGAAGGCAGCAATTCCTGACCTTTAGGCTTCTAGCAGCTTCCTCCAGGATTTCAAATCCAGAAGGGCGGACCACCTCAATCCGGCCAACAAACTGTGTTTAAAGAGACCGGAAATAACGTTTCTGAGAAACAGCTATGCCTTAAAATAAACCTAGATAGCTCAAATTTTAAATACTTCAATATAACCTAGAGGTCAACCATCTGTATTGGATTTAAAAAACACATTACCTTTACAGTGAAAGAAATGTCACTTTCATCCTCATAAATGTTGTCCATCTTGAGGCCTGAAACTAGCAGAAGGAAATACTGGCTCAAATTAAAGTTTGTCAAGTGAAAAAGTTATTTTTCATCTTACCTTAGGTAAATGCACCAAGGTCTAAAGGTTTCTTGATGTCACACTGAGGGGTATAAAGTCTACTGGAGTTAATATGTAACAAACCTCTTCCTCATTGCTCTTTATCTGACGTTTAAATCTGTTGGGAAGCTTTGCTGGATCTTTTAATGATGCCTTGAAATCATAAAACACCTGTTTTTATGCGTTGGTCTTGGACATCTTTTGGTAATATAACAAAACATGAGACCCAGTAATATTTCATGAACTGTTAAAAAAAAATGATAGTGACCACTTAGCAGATTTGTTATGAATTTATCGAGAGGAGGATTGCACATTTTGAATAAATATAGCCAAATATTATCAGCATATTAAGATTTCTTCCATGACTTGGAAACTTGTAAAAGACCAATTACCCGCTGGACTCCACAATATAAGATAGCTGCCCTAAAAAACACAACCTCTACAGCATGTTCCAGGCCTCTGGTTGTCAGAAAACAGGTTTTTAGTCACTTCCATCAGCGCACTTCCCCACAAAACCCAAATGTATCATTACATAGAGGTTTTTAATATAGATTACAATAGCAGCCATTCAAAATGGCCCTTCCCAGCCGAATGGTAGCTCACTTGCCTCCAACTCCCACCCACTGGAGTTACCTCCTCTTGCATATGTTTTTACTCTGTGACTCTACCCTTTGACTGAATTACAGGGTCTAACCAGGAGATGATGCTTCTCTTTAGATCTTCATGTCCACAAATCATGACAGAACATTTTAGTACAAATAGTGATGTCTAAAAAGGAATTAAAGGGGACCAGCCAAGGGCCAACAAGGAAAAGGGGAAAATTTTAATGGCTACTACTATATATACAGTCATGGCCAAAAGTATTGAGAATGACACAAATATATTTTCACATGATCTGCTGCCCTCTGGTTTTCATGTGTTTATGTCAGATGTTGTCATCACATACAGAAATACAATTGCAATCATATAATGAGTAACAAAAGCTTTTAATGACAGAATGAGTTAATGCAGCAAGTCAATATTTGCAGTGTTGACCCCTTTTCTTCATACCGCTGCAATTCTCCCTGGCATGCTCTCAATCAACTTTTGGACCAAATCCTGACTGATACTGTAGCAGTCCGTTCTTGCACAATCAATGCTTGCATTTTGTCAGAATTCCTAGGTTTTCGTTTGTCTATCCGTCTCTTGATGATTGACCAAAAGTTTTCAATGGGATTAAGATCAGTGGAGTTTTCAGGCCAGGGACCCAAAGTCTCTGTTTTGTTCCCTGAGGCAGTTAGTTATCACCTTTGCTTTATGGCAAGGTGCTCCATCATGCTGGAAAAGGCATTGTTCATCACCAAACTGTTCTTGGACGATTGGGAGAAGTTGCTCTCGTGGGACATTCTGTTACCATTCTTTTTTCATGGCTGTGTTTTTAGGTTTTTCAGGATGCTTTACATTTGGCATGAGACAAGACTGGTGGTAGCGCTCACCTCGTCTTCTCCGAACAAGCTGTTTTCCAGATGTCCCAAACAATCGGAAAGGGGATTCAGCAGAGAAATTGACTTTACCCCAGTACTCAGCAGTCCACTTACTCTACCTTTTGCAGAATATCAGTCTGTCCCAGATGTTTTTTTCTGGAGAGAAGTGGCTTCTTTGATGCCCTCCTTGAGACCAGGCCTTGCTCCAAGAGTCTCTGCCTCAGTGCATGCAGATGCACTCACACCTGTCTGCTGCCATTCCTGAGCAAGCTCTGCACTGCTGGTAGCCCGATCCCACAGCTAGAACACTTTTCAGAGACGGTCCTGGCGCTTGCTGGTCTTTTTTGGGTGCCCTGGAGCCTTTTTGGCAACAATGGAACCTCTCTCCTTGAAGTTCTTGATGATGCGATAGATTGTTGACTGAGGAGCAATCTTTCTAGCTGCCATTCTCTTTCCTGTTAGGTTATTTTTGTGCAGTGCAATGATGACTGCATGTGTTTTTTTTTTAGAGATAACCATGGTTCACAGAACAATGATGCCAAGCACCAGTCTCTTTTTTAAAGTGTCCAGTGGTGTCATTCTTACTTAATCATGACAGATTGATCTTCACCCCTGTCCTCATCACCACCCACACCTGTGTTAATGGAGCAATCACTGAAACAATGTGAGCTGGTCCTTTTAAGACAGGGCTGCAATGACGTTGAAAAGTGTTTTGGGGGACAAAGTTCATTTTCTAGGCAAATATTGACTTTGCATTAATTGCTGTTATGCTGATCACTCTTTATAACATTCTGGAGTATATATAAAACTGAAGCAGTAGACTTTTTAAATATTTACATTTGAATCATTCTCAAAACTTTTGCCCATGACTGTACACAACTCTCCAATTCAGTCCTTAGATCAAAATGTTTTAATAAATTTAAACCATACAATTTTCCTATAAATTTGGCAACAAACTTTGATGAGTTGTCTTTTTGTCATTCATTTTAATAAGCTAACAGTAAGGAGAGCAAAAACAAAACTTCACATCTGTTGTATTTATTGTTTACAGGAAGTGCCAAATGCGCATTCACATACAATTTTTAAATCATACAGAGGACGTCAATATTCTTTGTCAATATTGGCATCAAGCAGCAACAGTTTTGATTGTGATGAGATTACAGGAAAGAAAGCGAAACATATGGCAAATGGATTTAATGAAATATGCCAAACATGTTGAAATTGCATCTGAAGTGATTAACATTGCTCAAAACACAGATGTCCATTATAATGAATATCATCCACTGATGTGAATTCAATGGACCACAGAAAGAAACTGAGATTAAAGTGAAGAAGCATCGTCATCTAAATGCGCCAACTGGTAGATTAAGAAGTTATATCTTGAGTTTTATTTAGGCAGAGAGTGGGGAAATACAGACAATTATTTTTTTAAAGAGATGAAGACTGACATTGGATGGAGCAAGAAGCCTCTTCCCTTCAGAGATTAAACAACCTCTAACAAGATGATACACAAGTGTTTCCTTCTCTTATAGAATAAACTATTTCAGTTTAGAAGGAAAGAAATGCCTGAATTACAAACTTTGAAGTCAAAGTGATGTTTTGGATCTGTGAGGTTGCTGATGTCGTCTATGAGTCGTTGACAGACATGCTCTCCATGGCGTTGGGCAGGTCTCCTTCCTTCTTTTTCTTCTTCCCTCCTTCCTGCTGTTTCTTTGCTTTCTTCAACATCTCCTGATCAATGGGGGCAGGCTTCACAAATTTGATGATTTCTGTCAAACCTGCGGATAGAACAGAATGTAAAATCAAGTTAATGAGCAACTTATTAGTGGAGTCTTATTCCCTCTATCAGTCAGAGTAACAGGATTGGATTGTCCAGCTAAATTTACCAGGCCTAGGCATATCAGGATCTACTGTAGCTTTTCCTCTGTCATCCAAATCATTTAAATCCACATGGATCCATACATTTGCAAACATTGTTACACGTTCTTGGTGGCCCTGTAACGAGTCGGCAGCAATCTTACCAGGAGGCATGAAGTCCCTCAGCTTCTCTGGAACAATGATGCCTTCATCTGTTTGGTAGTTTTCCAGGATGGCACACATCACGCGTGTTGTTGCACACATGGTTGCATTTAACATGTGCACAAACTCCGCCTACAGAACACAGACAGTAATGAAGGTTTAGCACAGAAAGTCGTGTGTACCTCCCAAAATTGTAGGTGACCGCAGACACCTAGCATTCGCATGTAGGAGAGAAAGTAGGCCTCTGATTGGTCAATTCGATTTGGGATCTCCAGTAGGATATTGTGGAAGCTCTCATTGTGGAAGCTTTCATTGTCTTCCTCCAGGGATGAAAACAATGAAAGCTAAGAAATTAAAATGGAACACAAGGGAGGTGGGACAGAACAAGGAAACAAAGGCTAGTTAGAGAGGCAACGGAGATAAGAAGTAGACATATTTTCATTATTCTTATTGTTTCCAAAGTTATCCAGACTTGAATAACACAGACATCTATTTCCAGACTGCAGGAGCTCAGGGCCAAGAGCTGCTTTTTAAACGAACTCACCAAGTATAATCAGGAAATCAAAAGGTTTTCTAAAAATTGAATTATAACAGCTCTAACAGCTTCTTATATTATATTTAAGTTTCCTTTGAAGCTTCAAGAAAAAAAAAAAATTAATGACTTATAAAAGGAGCAGTTAAACCAGTCACTGTTTTTAATCTGTGTACTTGCCTTATCCATCATCTTTTTGGTCTGTCCGTAGCGGATGCGGAGACGTCTAGCCTGGTAGTCGGTGCAGTTTGAGCAGGAGACCAGCTCTCTGAAGGCCCCTGATCCTGGGAACCAGGCTTCCAGATCCAGCTTCTTACTGGCTGCATGATTCAGAGCCCCTGGAAGGAGGAAACACAAACGGACACTCGGTTTGCTTTGTCAATTTAAACCAAAAAGTCAACCCCAGCTTTGACTGTGATGCTCAGACCTACCAGAGACAATATTTACGATGCGATAAGGAATTCCCAGTGACTGGTAGAACTCCTCTGCTGTTCCAATCATCTCATCAAACATCTCCCACGATTTGCCATCATGAGGGGAGGCGTACACAAACTGCTCAATCTACAACCACAAACACCAGGCTGTCATAACAAGACCTATACATCTTATGAGCTTAGAGCATGATCAGATAAATCCTTAGAGCTACTCTTACAAATGTGTTTTCTTTAAGTAACTGCATAAACTAAAGTGATCTCAAAGGTGACGTTTACATCCTTGCTGACCTTCTCAAACTGGTGCACCCTGAAGATCCCACGGGTGTCCCTTCCATGCGAACCCACTTCCTGCCTGAAGCAGGTAGAGAAGCCGGCGTAACGGATAGGAAGGTCCTCAGGTTTCAGCCACTCTTCCCTCAGGAAGGCAGCGATGGGCTGCTCAGAGGTAGCGATCAGGTACTTCTCATCTATAGAACTGTCGTCTGACTTCTCGCTGCCCTTACCAATAACCTTAAAGCGATGTGGACAGAAGAAAGGGAGATGATTTGAGAAAAATGAAATGAATGGTTACCTAATGAGCCTGAAATGCCTCTCAATAGATTTCTATAAGAAGGACTACCTTAGATTTATCGTCTTTTGCTCTGCATCAGATTTCTATGATGATATTAATGTGATTTTCCAGTATAAATCTTCACAGCAGGCTATGCCTGTCTGTTTGATCACAACTGTTTTCACAGGGATTGCCTTTGAGTTAATGAGTCTATGCATTCAACGGGTTTTACTTAGATAGAAAACTTTGAATCAATCTGAATTTATGATCTGGTTGAATTGAGATGACCTGAATTGGCTCAATATAAATAAACTGAATTGAATTGAACTGTCTGTGCATGTCTGGCAGTTCAGAGTCAGTGTTTAGCATTTGTGTGGTTTGATAATTGGTCAGAGGAATTATTATCCATCTTAGATAATGTGTTTGGTTTTTTTTATATAAAGAACTAAATTTAAAATGCACAGCTAAAGAAAAGGTTAAGCTTCTAGCTTGCAATATAAATATCAGTTTCAACACTGTCCAGGCATGTCTGAACGATTAATTAAATGTAGAGCTGTGACTTTAATTTTAGTTAATTTTGACTGATTATATAATTAGAAACATTTTAAGACATTAAAAATACACGTTATTATATGCATTTTCTTATACACAAACTAAAATCAAAAGCGGGAACCCATGTACTCTCAGCATCAGCAGCATTACAGGCTAACGATGGAACTAAACGACCCATTCATCGGTTACCATTGCATGTTTCCAAGCAATACAAGGCCTTGTCCATATAAGACTCAAACTCACTGCGGATCCAGACATTTGAATTGAGAAAGCTTCCTGGAGAGGTGGCGAAACGTCTTCAAATCTTGAAAACCAAGTCCAGTGGATATTTTTTGAATTTTTACGGAATGACTATGACCTGAATGACTGAGAACCTTCATCAGCATCTTGTAGACCCGTCACAAGAGTTGGGCCTTTTCTCAATTCACAAGATAACAGACTCGTCTCCTAGCGAAGTTTGTTCTTGAGAAGAACACATTAAAGTCTGGAATCTGGGAAAACGGGAGCACGCAGCATAAATATGGGTCAATTGGAACAGACGCGTACTGATGACATCACCACAAGCTTCGCTCGTCTGGAGCTGCATTTCACCTCCTGTTATTAATAGTCTCTAGATAATATTAGGCCTGGCTGCCGTTAGCCTCAAGGCTTCTAGCATATGACCTTAAATCACTAAATGGGCCATAGAGTGACGCTTAAAAGTATAATGTTCTCGCCTTAAACGATCTTAAAACATACTTTTATAGAATAGCAACTGAAAATAGAACTTGTAACTTAATACTTTGAGCTCTATGAGCACTAACCTGGAAGCTGCTGCTGCCACAGTGCATGCTGGGACAGCTGTCAATCTCGAGAACTGACAAGTCTGCTCTGATGCATACTCAGTAAACAGGGAGGGGCGAGAACAACATCCGGGGACTTTGTCCGTTCTCGGTCTTCTTGTTCTCGTAAATTGGAACAGTACTAGGGCTGAGGCTGATGATGCTGTCCGAGTTCACGAGTACATGAGAACGCACAAGTGCACATACTGAGAAACAACCTTGGTCCACTGAAGATATATTCAAGCTTAAACCCATAGCTCGAACCAAATACCTCAAATTGGTATGTATGGACATGAATATGTAAGCTACAGCAGAAGTGCATCCACGGTTTCCATAATAAGTGCCATATATCCAAACAGTGCCAGCAGGAATAAGAAACTAAAACCACAAACATGGATTATTTGTGTCAGTAAATGGCTTAATGAGGGAAAATGTTTATTATATTAAAAATGTTTTACCATATTTAGTTAAATTATTTGTAATATAATTATTTTTTATGGACTTTTCACATTTATAGAAGTAGATTTTTTTTTAATGCATAAAATATCATAGTTTTCTAATAAAATAACTAATGCACCAATAATTAAAACCTAATGGGATGTGAATATTTTAAGATGAATAAGATGTAGTTTCTCACTGTTGCCACCAGAGGGCACTACTGCACTTTTCATGCACTAGTGAGATTTCTTCAGAAAAACAGATTTAAAATATTTAGGTTTTGCTGCTGTTTGGGTTTCAGAATGTGTCAATATGTATTTTAGCTCCATAGAGTAAAACATAGCAACCACAGCATTAATGTATTAAGGTAAACAGCAGACAGCAATCAGTCATCATTTACTAACCTTATACAGCTCCTCATCAAACTGGCTGAGCTGGGCCACTTCCTGCATGACCTCTTTCCTCATGAAGAAAGGCGTGTACAACATGGTGTAGTTCTTGCTGTGGAGGATCCTTAAGGCATAGTTGATCAAAGCCTGCTCCAGGAATACCAGAGGACCCTGAGCTCAAAACAGGAGAGGGAAATCATTCACAGTTACTTTCTAAACCTACGGGTATGTAAAAAACTTTTGTTTTAAAAGTTCTGCTGTCGTTATATTTGTGCAGTTTTTACTGCAACATGTTCAAAGTAACAGAAAACTCCTGTTTGTTTTCTTCCTACCAACACAGGACCTCACCTTTAAAAAGTAGCCTCGACTCCCAGCAACAATGGCTCCTCTCTCTCCATCAAAGCCGTCGATCATGACCACCAGGTCAACGTGGGAGTACTTCTTCTGGACGCTGCAGTCACCCCAGGTACGCTCCACTTTGTTGTCTGCATCCTGGTGGGTTGGTTAGAACATATGACAGGTGGCTCAGGAGGGACTGCTGGCGCTAAGTTTCTGAGGGAATGACGCCAGCAGATGGAAAATTTGGTCCAATCAAAATGTAGCAGTTGCTTTACAGCCCTCTGATCAAAGTCAGAGAAATTTGGGCTAATGGGCCCTGAACCATTCTGGTAGATGGGTGTTAGATAATTGTATATAAATGTATCTGTGTAGTGTTATAATGCATAAAGCTGTGTGCTATGTGCATGTGTCCATAGCCATCTTTTCTGAAGTATATTGTGATTTGTAGATTTGCTTTTGGGGGGGTTATGGTTGATTTACGAGCAGCACTCAACCTGCTCAACTTTGGTGAACAGCTTCAACAGCTTAAACTTTGACTGAACCCTGAGATTTAGAGGACATGTTTACTGAGACTGCTAGTCTGAGTTCCTTATCTTGGCTAGATGTAGAAGATGATTTCAGACTGAAGTTGGACTCTGGTGAGTCAGACATTTCAAAACTGCTCTGAGTTTAGGACACTGATCTCCTTTGCCTCCTATGAATGAAATATTCCTAATCCGTCTCTAAGATATTTAATAACATTAATAACACACATTTAATCACTCAATCCAGATTTCTTATTTCAGTGTAATTACTGCAACTGCCAATATTCTGCTTACCAAAGTCCTTTTTTCACAGAGCAGCGTATTTGTAAATAGCTTCATGTGTTGTTCTGGTTGAAAAACATAAGGCTATATATGAACCATATATGTTTTATTTCTATACTTTAAAATATAAAGCGTGTATAGCTGTGAAATTTAAAACATAATAGTATTCAAACTTTATATAATAAACACTTCAGCCTCCATTTGCAGATCATTTCTGTAGTAAAATAGTTGCATAATGTAGTATTTTAGTGTCCGACATTATGATGGTATTTAAAGATCCTATAAAGTTTGAGGTGGGAGTGAAAGAAAAATTTGAGAACCACTGCCTTAGAGAATACACACAGAAGGTGATGGTTACAGTGTCCTAACTATGCTAATCGTGAATGACAGTGAATAAAGTCTCAAATATCAGATTTAATCATTGGGTCTTTAAAAGTAGAAAAAGTATTAAAAATTTTGTTTTGATATCAACAGATTAATATGAGACAACAGATCAACAATATAGATTTTATGATTAGGTTGGCCAAGAGGTTAGAGCAGTGCTTGTGCTCCAAGAAGGTTGCAAGTACTCAGTTCGATCCCCACAGCCTCCACTCTGGGTTCCTGAGCAAAACCCTTAAAGGGGAACACCGTTTTTTTTTACACTGGCCCCTTGATTTTACGTTATTACATCATGTTCTACTCACCCATATTAGTTTTGTGTCATTTGGAGCTGTTCCGAGGATATTCGGTTTTGTTATATCCAGGTAACGTCTTCCTATGGGCAACAAGTTGAAGGCACAAACTAATTAATAATAATAAATAATTTATTATTTATGGTACGACAGCATTCATAACATGTAGGCCAATCACTTTCCCCCAGACTTCTGCAGTTATATTTTATATATATATATTTTTAAAAACAAAGCGGCGCGTGTATGACGTCATCCGCGCGCCGGCTACCATTCATTCATCCTGTCTGCTGAACTGCTGCTAGTTTTACTCACATGCCTGGAAGATGTCTAGTGCTACTACCACAGATGATCTCGCTCTAGAAATGGAATTGAACGATTCGGATTAGCTAGCGGAACGAATATAAGGAGTAGAGCGTAGCCGCCTGTGGCCCGGGCTGCCCATCACAACTCCAGTCCGGCGCATGGATGATGTCATACACGCGCCACTTTGTTTTTAAAAAATATAAATACAAAAATATAACCACGGATGTGTGGGGGACAGCTATTCACCTACATGTTATGAATGCTGGCGTACCATAAATGATAAATTATGAACAGTTTAGTTTGTGCCTTCAAGTCGTTGCCAATAGGAAGACGTTACTTGGATATAACCTAACCAAATATCTTCAGAACGGCTCCAAAGGACACAAAACTCATATGGGTAAGTAGAACATGATGCAATAATGTAAAATCAAGGGGCCAAGGTAAAAAACAAAAACAAAAAAAAAACGGTGTTCCCCTTTAACCCCACACTGCTCCCAGGGCGTGACATAATGGCAGCCCACTGCTCCGCGAGGGGATGGGTTAAAAGCAGAGAGTTAATTTCCCCATTGTGAGACAAGGGATTTACATTTGGGTATTATCACAAATTTAAAGCCACATTTTTTGGCATATATATAAATAACATGAAAGTGAGAATACAATTAACGCAATAAGAAATTTTCAATAATATTGATTAAACTGGTTCTCTTTTAAATGAAAAACTGAAAAATGAGTAAGTTAAAACAGCAAAAGTAAACATTTTAACAACACCTATAGAGCCGGGAGTTTGCAAACTACGAAACCTAATGGTCATCAATGCTCAATTGTTTAAAAGAATTAAGGGTTTTGGTCAACATGGTTTAAATTATTAATAAATATTAGTGATCATGATGAATCTCTAGGTTTATAAGTGATTTCTCTCTAACCGGTATGATCAGCTGCCTACCTCGTCATTGCTGACCGGTACAGAAGGATGCAGGAGGTTTCCGATATCCCTAAGGTATTCAAACCGCTCCGCTTCCAGCTTAATCCTCTCCCGGTCGGTTTTCTCCACTGCCTCGTCCACAAGCAACCGCACCTTTTTGATCTGTGTTACAGTCAAGGCCTGACAGAAGAAAAGATGTAAGGAAGGTAAGAAGCAGAACTACAACAGCAAACAGAACAATTTACATTTTCTATGTTTTGAATTTTCTACCTTTCCGAGGGACAACAGTTGAAAACTAGCTTCATTGCTAATACATTTACAGAAATGTTAATTAATGTGTCCCTGACAAGTAGACGAATAAATAAGATACATAAAAAGCATAGCTCCTTAACACATACCGATAGTGTTTCAGCTGTTAGGGCCTCCAGGTTCTGAGCTTCCTCTGGTACAGATTCATCCTCTCCTACTGGCTCCTTTTTCTGAAATAAAAATAGTCAAACACCAAAGAAAAAAGGTGATCAATGAATAATGTTATTGCTTTGCTTCTGAATAAAAAGGATCAGTTCTGAGTGCTTATAGGTTTTTATATAAGGCCACATTAGCAACACTAAAAGTCAACTTCCATTTAAAAGGCTGGGATTCCTAAAATTCTAGAAACAAGTTAAAAAGCATTCATGCTTGATTTGAGTTTCTATAAATACTTGACAGGGCACTGACAGCGGGATGTATTAATATTTTAGCAGGGGTGTGTTGTGAGTTTTCCATGAGCATACCTTCATCTTCTCCCCAATGCTTTTGCTGCAGAGGTTCTTGGCTTTGTTCAGGTTGTCTGCAGTGAAGCGGCCTGTCAGAGGTTAGATCTGTCAGTCACAGCATCATGGGATGATGGGGCTACAACCTGCAGCCGCTTTGAGAAAACCTGAGCTAGCAGTGTTTACCAATTTCCATCCATTATTAGAGTTAAGATGATGAAGCAAAGTGTCAGTAGCTGCGCTGTAGGTAGAGGATGACCTGATGCTGCATGGGATTGCATCAGATTCTGGATCGACAAGCTAACAACTTAAAACCTCGTGTTATATTAATCTGTCGCTGATAAATATTTAAGTTTAGTTATTCTGATTATATGTGATTTTAAATTAAAATTCTTCTTTGATAACATTTCATTTCTGTAGGTTACGGCTCGATTGCAATTGTAATATCACATTAGCTAAGCTAACATTAGCCTAGCCCTAAACAAAAAGACACACATTTATTTCCATATAGACTTTTAGTTTATTGCTTTGCTACAGGAGAAAATTACACAACTTCTCATGATAGTTTATCTATTTAAATCCATGAATGTGGATTGGTGAGCTCATTTTCCTGATGAAAGCTAACATTAGCATCAACACTGGTTTCCATGATTCAAATAGCAGAGGTGTTTTTAGGGCTTACATTTTCTCCACTCTGAGTCTGCGGCCACCAGTTTATCTACCAATGTAACGTCCTTAAACCTCTTCCTCTGGGTCTCACGGATGATTTCGGGATCGCCACCTTTGTCGGTCCGAAAGAGGTCCAAGTCGAGCACCATGTTTCCACGCCGCCTGCCTGTCAGAGAGAGAAGCTGAATGAAGCTGCGGCACAGAAGCTGCTGCCAGGACCGGCTGCTTACGCATCACAACGCGCTGACGTCTTTCTTCTTCCTCTGCTTTTTGTCTCATGGCAGATTGCAACCGTGACTTTTAGGTGCATACCGCCACCTACAATACCGGAGGAGGTAGCACGAGCCATACCGATGGATCGATCGATCTATCTATCATCATTTTAAATCTTACTGTCATCCTACAGCTTTCTGTATTTCCTTTAACCCCTGTCATGTTTTTCCTATAAATCATTTCAGATTCCATCCCATTTTTCATCTGTCTTGTCTTTTCTTTTAATCTTATCCTTTCTTTATCATATTTACTACAATATGATAATATATTTTCTACATTTTCTATAACTTTACATTCTATTAGGGTTGTCAAAAGTATCGATACTCAAAAACGTATCAATACTAAGCGTGTCCGGATAGAAAACTCTTTTTTAAAAATATCGATAACACCATTAGCCAGAGGTAGGAATTCAAGGCTAAGGTCACATTAATGATAATAAACAACAGAAATAAATAAATCAGGCATGTAGTATGTCCATATTATGTAAGTTGTCACAGTGCATCATGGACTTTTATTACGCAGGCAAAAGAAAAAATGTTCCAGGTAAACTCCCTTAGTTTTCTTAGTTTATTTTTTTCCTCAGGCAAGCAAACAAAAAAACATTTTCTCCATGTTTCTCTTGCGCTGGTAAAAACAAAACAAAAAAAACCATATGCCCACCCAGATGCATGCTGGTACTACCATTGACTGCCTATTTATAAAAAATAATTTACCTAAATTAATCATAACTAACCAAAAACAAAGGAACATGACTAAATAACCAAAAAACATAATCTCATAACAGATATCAAACAATAAAGTAAAGTAAAATTTAGCTAGATTATGCACAAAAACAAAAAAACATTTTTAATTATTAACAACAAATAATTGGCTCCTACAGTGTGTATACATAAGCGTAGAGTTAATACGTTTACATAAATGTTGGTGACTGAAAAGTGTTATTTTCTCTCTTGAGGTCATAGATTAGAGAGAAGTAGAACTGCGTTCAAACACCATCAAACACAGTCGACTCTACCATCTATGTCTGACCAACAACTGAAATATGATGCCAAGTCCCCAGAAGCTATGAAAATAAACATAATAAACAGCAATGAAAATAAAAGCAAATTCAGGCCAGTGCTACCACCAGTGGCACCTAAACAGTCATTCATCTAGAGTGCAGAATAGAGGGAAATGCACTTTCTGAACACTGTGTGATTGAATAATTCTCTGCACTTTGCAGTTTCAGATTTCTTTTGGAACAGAAGCAGCTGCTGAGAATACAGCATTTATATTTGTTTGTTAACTGGTTTGGCAAGTGTCATTGTTATGTGTGTAAAGCATAGCCAAGGAGGGAAAATGTAAGTTAATTTGGTTATTTATTTATTTATTTTTTTATCAAGCTTGCTTAATATTGTGCACAGCATACAACCTCAAAATATTCTCATTGTTTATTTATGCATTATTTATTTATTTATTTATTTTGTATTTTATTTATTAATCAAAATGTTTCTGTAAAGTTTTAGGGTCTTTGTTTTTATCCTCGTGGTATCGAAAATGGTAATGAGTATCGAATATTTTCATGAGTATCGAGTTGAAAATGTTCTTGACAACCCTACATTCTATACATTCATCTGTTTCACATTTCCTTAGTTAAAACAATGTTTTATTTCACCCAATATGATCAAATCTTATTATCTTATTTCTTTTTTTTATTATTTCCTTAGCTTCTCCTTTCCCATAAAGTATGTTTATAACATTATTTGTCCTAATTGACTTTTTAGCTATTTGGTCTCCTCTTTCATTTCCATTTATTCCTACATGGGCTGAAATCCAACTAAATTTAATTTAATATAAAGTTCTGAATAAACTTTGATGAATTTTTCATAATAAATCTTCTCTTCCTGATTTCATATTTTGGATACTGTGAAGGGCTGCCAAAGAATCAACACAACAAACTACTTCCTCCTTCTTCCTCTATCCATTATAGTCCGTAAATCATCGCCAACGCCATAATTTCTGCTGTGTACAATGACATCTGATCAGGTAATCTCCTCCCAATGCTTACCTGCAATATTGAAATGTATATTCCTATACCTACTGTATCCTTTCCACCTTTAGATCTATCTTTTTAAATATCTAAATAGCTATAATATTTGGTTCTTATACAATGTTTTGCCAGTTGACCTTTCCCTCAGCCTTCCCACTCTTTTTAAATTTCATTATATTTAAATCTATCTCAGTATTTGGAAATAACCAAATCAAGATATTACTAATAGGTCTAGGTGACAAAAAAACATACATTTCCTATTTTATATTCATCTAATTTATTTTTGTTGTCCATTCAAACCCATTACCGTTAAAAGAATTATATTCCCAACACCCCGGTATAATATTTTTTGGCTTGTTTTCATTTCCACATCCATGTAAATGACAGCAGTACGTAAGCATGAGCTGATATGTTCTTAAATCTAATGGCACTTTTTCTAACTCTAATTGTGTTGATCTTATTGCACCAGTACAAATTCTCATTGCTTTATTAATTACTCTTTCCCATAGTCCATTGTTGATCTCATTACAGCCTGATAGTTATGCACCAATGACTGTATCCTTCCTCCCCATTCTTTTCCTGCTACTGCTCTCATGAGATTTATGATTTTCTTACATTTCGTCTCTTTTTTTTCTATATGTTCCTTTTTGGTCTAATCATATATCCAGATATGAAAAAATAATTACTGTCTAGATTTTGTGACCATATAATTCCATACTCTGTTCATCTACCTTTTTCTTTTTTGTACATATCATATAACAAGATTTACTTGACGAGAGCTTAAAGCCCCATTTATGCATTTATGACCATTATTCAATTTGTCTTTTTGTCTGCTTTGTTTCTTACTGTTATGGAATCTTGTCCTGTTGTCCAAATGGCCCCATAATCAGCATGCAGCTGAACCAATCCTTCTATACAAATTCATGAAAATATAATCAATCATTTTATTAAATAACACTAAACTAGTAACTCTTCTTTGTGGGATACCATTGTTTAATTCAAATTGTTTCCAGATTTCAGATCCTACTTTAACTCTAATTCTTCTTTCTGTTAGAAAATCTACAACCTAGTTAAAATGTTCCTCTCATTCCCATCAGATTTTGCTTAATTAATAATCCTTTCCACCACATTTAATCATAAGGCTTTTCTATACCTAAGAACACAATGCTCATTATTGTTTTCATTTTAAATGCTTTTTCCATTACATAACTTACTTTCACCTCTCAGCATCTATGGTAGAACGTCTTTTTCCAATCCTACTTTGATATGGTGCATATAGTCCCTTTTTTCTCAAAAGTATAATTTAGATTTCTTACTAGAATTTTCTCCATCTACATAAATAAGATGTTAGGGCAAAAGGTCTATAACTTCCAACATTATTAGGATTTTTACCTTATTAAATGGCAATATTCACACACTTTTCCATTTTTTTTTTAGCATTTTACCTTCTTTCCAAATTTAATTAAAACTGTATTATAATCACAAGTAGCATACTTCCTCAGATCATTTTTGAAACATGATATAACTTATCTTCTCCTGTAGCATTATTTCTGATACTCAAGTTGTTCTTCTTCTTGCATTTTTATTTGCTTTTGATGTACATTACCGCTGTCCTCCAACAGGGATTGCAGGATGGGAAGGCACCAGCAGTTCTCTCTAAATTCTATCAAATAATCCCATGGATCTTAAAAATATAAATAAGGCCTTATAACAATAATAAGGCCGGTCCATTGCCTGCTTATATTTCATTGATTAAAAAAGGAATATTCTAAAAATTTTGCTTTAGATTACGTCCTCTGGTCTTTATACTTAATGCAATGTATAATGACGCATTCTACAGTTCTTATTCTCCACGATAGTTTACTGTTTTCTTATAATGCATAGTTTACTGTTTAGTCCTGTGTGCCCAAGTCCCAAAAGGGACATAATTCCTTCTTCCTTTTGATTTTTGTTTTCCAAGATCATGATTCCCCTACTTTCCTCTGTAATCTAAAGCAAAATTACCTTTTCATTTCTTGTTCCCAACTTCCCTGCTTCTATAGATTTTATCAGCACTTTGTTGTACTTAATACTAATGCAAAACTGAGTATTTTGTGGTGGTATTTTAGCATATATATCTGCCGGCTCATACTTCCCTTCTGCTTTAGATAAAGAGCCGCAAATCTATATCAGGTTCGTTAAATAACCATGGAGTAGGGTGTATTACTAACACTCCCACACGTTTAAAGTTGTTTATTCTCTCTTAACATAGCTGGCTCCCTTCAAGCCCCTCTCAAACCACTTATTTTCTTTATCAAGAATGTGAACATTCTGGTCCTCAAAAGAATGTCTCTTAACATAGATGGCTTTCTTCATGCCCCTCCCATACCACCTATTTTCTTTATGCAGATTGTGAACATTCTGGTCCTCAAAAGAATGTCTCTTAACATAGATGGCTTTCTTCATGCCCCTCCCATACCACCTATTTTCTTTATGCAGATTGTGAACATTCTGGTCCTCAAAAGAATGTCTCTCTTAACATAGATGGCTTCCTTCACACCCCTCTCATACCACCTATTTTCTTTATGCAGAATGTGAACATTTTGGTCCTCAAAAGAATGTCCTTTGTCCACAAGGTTTAGATGTACTGCGGAGTCTTGTCCAGAGGAGGCCGCTCTTCAGTGTTGGGCCATGCGTCTGTGGAGAGGTTGTTTGGTTTCTCCAATATAAAGATCAGAGCATTCCTCGCTACACTGAACAGCATGGAAGGCTCCATGCTATCCAGAATGCTCTGGATGTCAGATTTACCAAATAACTTATTGTTATATAGAATTTGTAATAATGAACAAGAATCTGAAAAAATCGTATTACCTGATTTCCTCTAGCCAGGGAACTGCTAAAAAGTAGTTGTCTGTATACACTGATAGGCAATCACTAACCCTATTACTCTAAGAAACACAAGATTCTGAAATAATAAACACTATACCAGTTTTGTTATCCAAGTCTTTCGATGCATCTGTGTTAATCTGAATATAACTATGTTGATTATCAATATTATTATGTATAGCTTCTAAAATGAACCCTTTAACTTTCTGAATGGTCAGACTTTTTCATGCAATAAAGCCAGTATAAAAACAACAGATTCACTTGGAAATAGTTAAGGTATTACGTATCATGACTAACACTAGGTGACATCTAATAAGTAGTTTTGAGTGCAGGAATTTCCATAGCCAAAATGTGTTGTGTTACAAAAAAACAGTTTGACTCAATTTAAAAAATCCAAAACAATGATTAAAATCAAACCACTCACTGCATAAATTATAAAAGTAAATCAGACAGAAACATCATTGGGCACCATCATTTGATTTGTTACATTTTGAGAAAGTCTGGTTTATTTATACAGAATAAAGGTATACGTAAAATAAAATGTTTCAAAATACAGTTTACATATACTGTATATACCGTTCATTCAACTAAAAATCGAAGAAAAAAAAAGAAAAACTATATATGATACGCATAAGCATGAAAAAAATATGTTTGTAAACATACTCAAAGATATATTCCACAGGTAGTGATTATTTTCAAAGGGATTAAACACCTAGCAGCATTTTAGAAGACATATAATAAAGGTATTAGTATTTCTATACCTTATGTACAGTACTGCATGCATAAAGTCATAAAATATAGTGCAAAGTTGTGTGCATTTGAGCCTCCTCTCATGTATCCACAATTATTGGAATGGGGAAAGAACAATAAATATAGTTCCAAATAAACTGACTCGTAATTAATTCCATTTATGAATGAAACCCCATTGATCCACATATCCAAAAAAAAAAAAAAAAAAGTCAATGCAAGTAGTTATTTGTAATAAAATGAAATGACACTGGGAATGACTCATGGAAGAAAATAAGATGTAAAAAGGGATAGAAAACCAAGAATCCATCCCAAATCTGACAGTGCCAAATCTGACCTTGTGGCCTTATCTCTCATTTCTGACAGAGGAGGAGAAACAATAAATAGACCCCCCCCCATACACCACACAATTAAATCACCTTCCTGTGACCACAGATCTACACAGGAGGTTCTAATTGCATGAAGCAATATCACACTTCCTCCTGAAAGACAGGTCAATTAAGTTCACCAAAATGAAACACAACACTTCAATAATCAGAAACCTAGAAGAGTTGTAACTTGATTTAAACCAAGATGTTATACTAAATCTGTAAAAATGCAAACATAAACAAACACGGAATAGTGTATGAATGCAGACTACAGAATAAAGAGATGGTTAAATCAAGCAAACAAGAACAATAAAATGTATAAACTGAGACCAATGGTGTTTTCACCCACTTTGTCACAGTGACGTTCAGCCATAGAAATGTCAAGCATTAAGATGAGTGAAAAACGAATGGAGAATTAGAGATGAATTAAGAAACTTATCAAGACTTACCAGATACAAATGTGAAGATAAAAAAGGTTTGGTTCCCAACATGCAGCAAAGGAAACTTTAAAATAACGGTTCTAAAACCACCTAGTCATTCACTTGACTTTTAACCAAGAACTCCAAACAGAAGATCAGAGTAAATAGGGGACGCATCTTAGAGTTTTTAAGACTTGAAGACTGTTTTTGTGGAAAAGATGGTTAAAATAAAATTTTAGCAGAGCAGGGTGGAGTACCCAAAATGGTAAATTGTAAGACTATTTAGACTATTAAGTAAAAAGTATCCTTTAAAGAAGTCCCTTAAGTAAAACGTAAAAAGGCTACTCAAGTACTGAGCAACTGATCTACTTACTAACAATGACAATAACAACTGATTTCATTTGTTTGAGTTATAGAAGTTACAAAATCAATGGTTGCAGTATGTAAGAATACATCCAAATGGCACGGCAGATTCAGCAGAGGGAAGAAAAACACCAATAAGCTTGAGTACAAAAAAGAAGACTTTTTTTCATTAAGTAACATTACTCTTCATTGATGGAGTAGCTAGAATTTTCACTCAACTTAAAGTGAAAAGAAAAATGCTGGAAAACTACTCCTAAAAGTAGATAAAAAAGTTACTCAAGTAAATGTAACAGAGTAAATTTAACTATGCCTCCCATTTGGGCAGTTTAGGCTTTTTTGCATCTAGTTGTCCCTAGTTTACGTGGATAACTCGGGTTGTCCTTCATAAATGGTGTGGATTTTCAGCCAAAATAGAAACAAATTACATGAAAAGAAAAGGGTGTAATTATGATTTCCCTCTCTATATTGAGTTTTAAACTTCTACTCTGTTGCATTTTTGGCCTTCCAATGTCTGCTGAGTTTCTCCACTCAGTGACATCCCTGCCTCCTGGATGGCCACTTGAAGAGCAGCTCCTGTTGGGACAGTAGTGAATCCCTCTTCTGTGATGTTGTTTATCATCAGGTAACTGCCTGGTCTGTGCAGGGCCACACCATGAAGATGAGAGAAGAGAAGTGGAAAGTCGCATGGTAATGTGTAGTGAGATGCCAGTCTCAGCTCAATGGGGATGTCCGTTTCCTTGCAGTACTGGAAAATGGCCGCCATGTATTTAGACAGGTCTTCTCCACGGGCTTTGGCTTGTCCCACCTCTTCTCCAATAAGTTGGATGATGGCTTTAGAACTGCAAGTGGTTGACATCACATCTAAAATGTTGTCATGATTGAACTCTTGATCAGCTTGGTCATGACTTTGTCTAAATCCTGGAGAACAGATAACTAGTATGAAATCACTCTCCCTGATCTGCCGACAGTGCCAGGCCATACTGCCCTCCTCTGCAATGCTTAGAGAATCCCAGAGGTCCAGGCACACCTGAAAAGACAGGTGTGTTTCAAACTTCTTCTTCCTCATCTTTGTAAATACGTGGACAACATTTACTGAAATCACAGAACATTTAGAAAAGAAGCAAAGAGCTCAGATTACCTGGGTCGCCATGTGCTTCTGTATGAAGGCTGCCAACTGCATGACTGCATTTACATGAGCAGGGCCATCACAGCTGCTGTAGCAAATTAGAAGACGTGGAGGGGTTGGTCTGTCTCCAGGCAACATCAACACCTCCTTTTGAGTCTTATTCTCTTCTTTCAGGGAAATAATTTCTACATGAATAGAAAAAGGCGGATATCGTTTTAAACACTTGCACATGACAAAGTTAACTCTTACATGTTTTTTTTTTAATTTTGGGTCATCTTGCACCTGAATTTATATTAAGTTTTTTTGCATGCATCTTTGACCTCCAACACATTAGAGCGACCAGTAGGACTCCAAATGTGGCTGCTACAGTCAGACACAGACTTAGCACCACAGCCAAGGATGGGGAATCGGCGGCAGGAATATCTGATGACCAAAGAGATTCAATTAGACGCTGAATCTAAGTAAGACCTGTGCTAAATGGTTTGACATTTTGGGTAAAGGTCTTTTGATGCAATACTTTTTACCCCTCTGAAAAAAAACTACAAAAAGGTGAATTTTTCACATTTTACAAACACATAATAAGATTGTTCAGAAACACAAGAAGAAAAGTCCAAAAAACAGTGAAAACAGTATGTGTGGGTCACGCTGTTTTCACATAGATGTACATATTTCTTTTCAGGCTACTTTCCAGTATTATGTGCCATTATTTCAACATCCATTTGTTTTTGATCTATTCAGCTTAGTGAGCAAAATTAGCACTTAAATTAGACCTATGACTACAAAACATTCAAGAGATGTTAACTTTTGACGTATCAACGGTGGCTTTTGGTTGTCCAACACAGCGACCAATCAAACCAAGGACCCCCATTAATACAATGTAGTGTGTCTCCTGGGTTGTGGGGAAAGTATGGAATATGCCAAAATGTGGGGAGTTACAGGTCCTTGAGGAGAGCAACGAGCAGTCCCCATGAGGAAAGGTTATCTTCTGGAATAAGGCTTAGGATTAAGGTTTTGTTGGGTTAATTAATTGTACATAAGTTATTCTACTTTAATCATATTATACTTACACATTTTGTTATCTCTATCTTACTCATATTACAAAGAGTGTTAAAACATTTAGTTTTGTTTGCTGTGTCATTAATGTTTTTTAAGTCTGTGCAGGAGGGATGCTGACTGCGACTGCTGTTAACAGATGTCGTTAAGGGTGTGGAAGAGAATGGAGAACTGTGCAACTAGATAAGGAGAGGGGTTCTCCTTATCCTATGATGTTGTATGATGTTGTATGATGTTGTACGAAAATTCTGGTTTCAACTGGGTTCTGTTCCCTCCCCCTTTAGCGGTTGAAACCACATTGTAATCAGGGCGTTTCTTCAATAAAGGGCTTGGAGAGCAGATACTGCTTCAGAGTGGGTTTGAAGTTGTAACTGAATGCAGTTTCTGATCCCCTCTCCTTGCAAGTAAAATATACTAAATTCTCTGTGTCATTCTTTGTGCAGGTTGCTGAATAAGGTGTTTGGTGTTCAAACCTAACATTAATTGGTCCTTCGAGCCGGATTGCAAGATACCCGACGACCCCCAGCAGGTGAGTGAGATCCAGATAAGCCTGCGGCCGCAGCAAAGAGACCCTTTACGGGACTGGTCTCTCCCTGACAAGCTGGGGTCCGACGGTTGAAGCATTTCGAGGACGCAGAGAATTGTGAGTAGTTTTTCTTTTAATAAGGAGTGAGTGAATTATTGGAAGAAAAATATATAAAATATAAAAAATTTATAAAAATATAATAATATAAAAAAAAAAGAAAAAAAGATCGAAGTGAAGGGCGTGGGGTCACGAGATTCCCCTTTTGAAGTCCTCTCAGCGTGGGGTCACGAGATTCCCCTTTGCAAACAGTTTAAACCTCGTGAAGGACGGCGGTGTCCTCTATCTTAAATAGTTAAATTCCGCATGGGGTAACGAGGTCCCCCTTTTGTACTAAAACCCTGACAATTCTAGACTCTATCAGGTAAAATAGAAATTTTAAAACAGTTAAAGTCCGCGGGAGGGCAGGCTCCCCTAGTTTGTAAGGGCAGGCTCCCCGAGTTGTAAACTAGTTAAATTCTGCGTAGGATGGCGGCGTCCTCTGTGTTTAAAATAAAGTAAAAGTTAACTGCGCAGTGTGAGTGTGTGTGTGTGTGTGTGTGTGTGTGAAAGGAAATATAGATATCACTAGATATCTGTATTTCATACCAAAAAGACAAGGGTTAAATGGTGAGCTTTTGTGGATGTTTGTAGACAAAAAAACTCCACCTGTAAGGGTTGAAGTGAGTTTTACCACAAAAAGTCGTTGATCACCATCTTGTCTGAAGCCCCAGTGTTTAGAACACGACAGGTGTTGAAAACCCACTGGGCCCAAATTTAGTTCAAAATGGGAAAGGGGCAAAGTAAAGAAAAACAGAAGTTATTGGAGGAACTCCAGTGTAAAGACTAGAAAGCAGTTGAAAATGATGACCCATTGGCGGTAGAGCCGTTGTGTTACTGGATAAAAAACTACGGTTTTAATGGTAAATTGAGCACCACAAACATAAAGGAATTGCAGCAAAAAATAAAAACAAAAAGCAAAAATAAAGACACTTTGATGGCAAAAGAAGGTTACATGCAAACCATGGTCTGGATGAAATTAGCAGGACAGAGAGAAGAGGGAGAGCGTGGAGTTAAGAGAGGGAGAGAGGAGAGACAAAGAAAAACAGTAGAAGGAATTCCCTCTCCAAAGCAAGATGTGGAAGAATGTATAATTCAAAAATGGGTAAATCGTCACCACATAGAGATGAGTGGTGGAACACTTCAAAATTATATAAATCACGCCCTGCATGCAGAGAAAGTCATAAAAAGTAAAAAGAATAAAAGTAAAGAATCCACTGTGTTTTATCAGGAGGAGGAGGACACTGTGTTTTATCAGCAGTCCAGAGGTAGAGGCCGAGGCAGAGGCCGTGGAAGGGGAAGAGGCTTTGGATCACGCTCAACTGATGATTCCAGAGCGTGTTGGTCATGTGGAAAAGAAGACCACATAGCTAGACACTGTCGACGTAAACCACAAAATGCAGGGAGCTCAGCATGACTAGATGAGCAGCCATTTTCTATTAGAGAGAAAGAGGATGAAAATATGGATGTCTTAAACCTAGAAGATTTGTTTTTTGAAGAAAAATATAGACCTGAAATAGTCCTCATGGTCCAGGGCACTCCTGTGAAGTTTTTGTGCGATACAGGAGCATGCAGGACCACTGTAAAAGAAACCATACTACATGCACCCTTAAGTTCAAATTACTCAATAGTGCGTGCGGCCCAAGGTGTCACAAAAAAGGTTCCAGAGACTGAGCCGTTGTGGCTCAGAGACCCTGAAGGAAAATCATGTCAGCTGCCTGTTTTACTGTTGCCTGAATGTCCAGTTAAACTATTGGGCAGAGATGGCCTGGTGGCGCTTTCCCTAGCCATCATGCCAACTCCAAATGGTTTGAAAATCATTAGACAAAAACCTGAAGAAGTGTTTGTTCTCAGGGGAACTGGAAGCCCAAAATACTACTACGCCTTAGATGTTCCGAATAAACCCCCCACGTCCACTGGAGCTTATCTTATGGAGGAAGGTAAACAGGCAGTCAGGAATGTACAAGATCAAATGCCTCCTGATGATCTGCATGTAACCATGTGGTATAGAGGCCAACCAGATGCCCAGTATAAGCAACAGCTAGATAAAGCTACCCCTGAAAAAATCACAGTCTCTTATGTTTACTCTGATGTGGAGTCTAGCTCCGCAGCAGCAGTACTCCTTCCATCATCTTTGCTTCCCTTGTTCCACCAACATTGGAAGCCACACATTTCCTTATGTAAGGCAAAACAGGACAAATGGCAAGACCTGGGGAGATTGGTTGAGAGAGGGGAACGAGCCTGCGATTGGGTAGCAACCTCTGTGAACACATGGTACAGTGCATCAACAGAACTGACAAAGAAAGCTTTGTTCTGGACAGTAACTGTTCAGGCGGGAGTCCATTTAGATGAGGAACAACAGTGACAGATATATTTCACAGAAGCAGAGGAAACACTGCTGAAGCAGGTTCCAGCTAAATTGTGGTCTCAAGGACCTACAGATGTAGGCCTAGTTAAGAAAGCATTACCTGTGATAATAAGACCTAAAACAGAACACCGTCCTAGGGTAAGACAGTATCCATTGAAACCAGATGCTGTAGCTGGCATAGAGCCAGTCATTGAAGATTTAAAGAAAGCAGGAGTGTTGGTGGAATGTGCAGATTCTCCCTGTAACACACCAATATTTCCTGTTAAAAAGGCACCCCCATCAACAGGATGGCGAATGGTTCAGGACTTACAAGCAGTGAACAATGCAGTAATACAGAGATCACCATGTGTTGCAGACCCTCACACATTATTGAATTCCCTAAATCCTCAAGCTAAATATTTCACAGTAGTGGACATTAGCAATGCTTTTTTCTCTGTTCCAGTACATAAAGACAGTCGGTACTGGTTTGCTTTCACCTTTAAAGGGAAACGATATACATATACGCGTTTACCCCAGGGATACTGTGAAAGTCCTACGATATATTCCCAAGTGATCTCTTCCAGCTTGTCCTCCTTTGAACCACCTAGACAAAGCCAACTATTAACATATGTTGATGACATTTTGATAGCATCTGAGACTAAAGAAGGTTGTGAAATTGATACAATCGCATTACTGAAACATTTGGCAGATGAAGGCCATAAAGTTAGCAAAAACAAGCTACAATTTTGCCAAAAACGTGTAAAATACTTAGGACATCAATTAAGTGCTGGCGGCAGAACCATAATGGAAGAAAGAAAAGCAGCAATACTGCATGCGCCTAAGCCACTTACAAAGAAACAAATGATGTCCTTCTTAGGACTCACTAATTATTGCAGAAGCTGGGTACCAAATTATGCAGAAATAACTGCACCGTTAAACTTACTTATGTATAAAGAGGAACTGAAAATGTCAGACAACCTAAAATGGACATCTGAAGCAGAAGCGGCCTTCTGTAACATTAAGCAGGCTATGGTGAGCAGTTGCACGTTAGCACTCCCAGACTATGAAAAAGAATTTGTACAAATGGTGGACTGTAAAGGTCATTTTATGACCTCGGTCTTAACTCAAATGCATGGGAATAAATTACGGCCAATAGCATACTATTCTACTAAATTAGATGCTGTAGCATGTGCACTTCCACACTGTGTGCGAGCAGTGATAGCTGCTTCATTGGCAGTAACGTCCAGTGCTGACATAGTATTATTCCATCCACTGACATTAAAAGTTCCCCACTCGGTGTCTGCTTTGCTTTTACAAACTAAAATGACTTTTCTATCCCCAGCCACACACCTCTCATGCATGTCTTTACTTCTGTCACAGCCGCATTTGAAAATAGAACGC